GGGGATCTGCAGGCATTGAACATGATGTCTCTCCCGACCATAGAGATACGATGCTGACGATCAGTTGATATTGTTTTTACAGATATCAGTTTTGCCACCCTAAAGGTAAACTTTACGGTGCAGCCTGGTACAGTAAGTGTGGGCATCTACAGGCATTGAACATAAAAGCAGCGCGTTGTGATGTCTCTCCCGACCATAGAGATACGATGTTGAGGATCAGTTGATATTGTTTTTGTCGATATCAGTTTTGCCACCCTAAAGGTAAACTTTACGGTGCATCCTGGTACGGTGTGGGCATCTGCAGGCATTGAACATAAAATCAGCGCGTCGTGATGTCTCTCCCGACCATAGAGATACGATGCTGAGGATCAGTTGATATTAATATTGTTTTTACAGATATCAGTTTTGCCACCCTAAAGGTAAAACTGTAAAACTTATGGTGCACCCAGTAAGGGTAGGGTATCGGTAAACATATTGAACAATAAAAAACATAACTATTCCTTGCACTGAAGGCTTGGGGAGAGGTGGTATGGCATGTGACCCGGAGACAGATGTATGCACATATTCGTCAACGTAAATACTCGTTTTTATGCATATCATGATTCATTTTGCATAATTCGCATTTTTGTCAACTGGTGACATGTTACTATACAATCTCTTAAAATGTTGCCTCTTTAACATGTTCACTGGTCTACGTTGTTGATATCAGCATGGCAGGAGAAACGGTTGTTTCTTTTCATTTCTGGTGGTGGGAAACTCAGCTGACCAAACAGACAGAAATATAACATGGAATATAGGATGTAAATATATTCCTCAATACTGTCTGAGGAAATTCTTGTATGTTACTTTGTGCCCATAGTTAGGTATTTTGTATGGCGTTGCTCGAGTTTAAAAGTAAGGGATGGGTCGAGGGAGAGGGGGAGACAGAGCAAGACATTGTACTAGTACTGCTATGCGTAAACATCCAACCTAACTGTCAAATCCAGTACATATGTACCACTGCCTTCAGTACGTACATGTACGTCACATGTGCTGCAGCTACAACTGTAGTTGCAGAGTGGCGTTTTTATTTCTAACATTCTGACAAATCCGTAGTGAAACATAAATCTCACGTTATCCTTTTACTACACGTACACATGTTGTTGACTTTTCAAAGCTATTGGGAGAGGAAAATGGGATCAAAGTGGGATTTTTCTGGACGTCAGGACTGAAGTTCTTTTCTGGTATTTTCTGGTCTAGACTTATAGTCTCTGTAGGAGTTAGAACGGCTGAAAGCAAATCCTCGAAACGTGCAGGAATAGTATAATACCGATCATTGAGCACACTTCACCCAGAGAACTGCGCACGTTCTGGGCGATTATTTTAGTCTGGTAAGTCCTGTACAGTATTATGTTTTTGTCAGTCGTTTTCTCCGCAATAATAGCAACGTCAACAAGCAACCGTAACCGGGCAGATAGCAAGCACACGGCCCGCCTACCATTACAACAATATGAGACTATTTGGCCAGTATTTACTGCCTAGCATTCACGTTTTTATCAAGATACGAAAAAGAAAAAGTTTAGAGCTTTCGTGTTATGTTTTTTTTTAAATTCGGGATTCTTAAAATCGTAGTCATTTTGAATAAGGCATTAGTCAATACCATTGCTGTTCATGCCCTCAAAAGAATAAGGCTATGGTATCCATATACATTTGTACATCATATGGTGAGTATGTTCAGTGGCATCGTTCTCACGTAATCCTGCCCGGCAGCATCTGGGAACGTGGTAGAAAGTACAGTCTACACCAGGGGTAGGGGCCCGGGGTCTGCCCATGCCGTAAGTTTACATTTCCCCAATAGCTGTGCCGGTTCCATTGCTCTTGTACGTGACCAAGGGAAGTTCAAAACAAGTTCAACTTCCATCTATGGAACGCTTGTCACTTTCTCCAAGGTCATAGCTTCATGAATTATAACACCGTACGGTACTCGTATTGCTTTTCAATCTTCTGTTTTTTCTGTGAATGATTATTTGACGTACTAGGGATACTCATTATGACAGACACGTGTTTGGAAATATTTGACATCATTTCTGTCAGAAAAGCATGGTAACAAGGCACGAAATACGACACTCGGAATGAGCGGCCTCAAACATAGCTTATTACAACTTACTCGATATGGTCAAACGATTTAGTTCCTGGGACGTCGTGGTGGGAAACCAATTGGAAAACTTGATACAAAAGATTAGTAGCCGGGGTAACTGCACACTCGGTTCAACAATATTTACGATTTCGTGTCGCGAGTTCGTGAGCCCGGGTTTAGGTAATAAAACCCCGACCGCATTTAGCCGTCTAGCTATCCGAGTAATGCGCGTTCTTGCATATCGGTTTCTGAGTTTAGATGTTCCAAGTAAGCTATTATTTGTCACTTGTAGCAGCAGCTGCGGCGGCGGACACATGTCTGACATTGCGCGCGATGGCAGAGGAAATGTCGTCTTTTGCCGTCAGTCGAGTTAGCAGCACGAACTGAAGGCGCGAGCGATAGAATACACGCGCATTCCTGAAAATCTACGTAACGTTACATCAATGTCTAAAATTTTGTTTATTACATACTCACAGGGTAACGGTGATATGTCACGGCATTGCGCCACATCGAGAGCCTTTTTTATGCAACTGTTTTTTTTTCCTTTACACGTTTTAATACTCTACAAGTAAAAATTTAGACTTCGGTTTATCTTTGACGTCTTTGAGGCGTTTTTATTGGGCTCTCTTTTTTGTACCGATATCTTTATTTCCGGGTGGGAAATGGTAATAGTAACTGCCTCACGGGGAAATGGTTACTGCCTAGCCTTTACCAGGCACCGCGGATAACTGTAAAAATAGTAGAAATTGGCCGAAATAAAGGGATAGTATACCAGAGACATTCTCCCACGGCAGAGCTATCCCGCGGCAAATACGCCTTGGGATTAGCTCCGAACTCGTAAGGAAGCACCCCTGGCTTGGGAGGATGACCAGAGAAGATCCCAGGCCATAGAAGACCCAATTCGCGACACGTGTTGGATCTTCTATGGCCCGGGATCTTCTCTGGTATACTATCCCTTTATTTCGGCCAATTTCTACTATTTTTCCAGCGATCCGCGGTGCCTGGTAGAGGCTAGTTACTGCCTGGCCCATTTGATACTGTCTTTTTTGTGTAGCCACCAAAAGATCTGTTTTGAGATTAAAGTTTGAATTATGGAATCCTGAGAGTATTTCCACCTGTTGAACAGCACCAAACCACCACTACAATACCCGCTTGTTTTACCACAGCTGTTCATAGTGAATTGATATAGAGCCTAGACACATACGTACTTTAAGGTGAGCGATCGCAGGTAGGCGTAGAGGTTTGATCTAAAAGTGTTTTATTAGCCCTTGAACTGTACATCTGAAAGGTCGTCTTTCAAAGGTACCTTGGTGGCATTGTATCTTTGTTAATTTATGTTCGATGGCGGCGCTTATATAAGTGTAATTAACTTGAGTGCGTCGCCATCGCAGTCTTAAATTTTATTTTCTTCTATGTGCTTTAATAAATACTTAAAAAAGGTACCTTGGGATTATGTGCAAAACTACAGGAAAACAAATGTACTACAAACTATTTATTGGATTTACATGGCCCAGTGGTCAAGTGCTGCATACTCCATACTTATAGAACCTGTCGGCGCAAACGGGGGTACGGTACGCCCCTAAAGGCAAATATTTTCAGACCGCTCTCTCCCGCCATCCATGACTAGTATATACAGTATATACCATTGCTTTGGGCATCACGTGAGGCCCCCATTGTCATTTCCTGAAGCCCCTCCATGCACCCGGCGTTCCCCGTCTACATCATTACATACAGCTGACGACACGGGAACCGCGAAGGGGCCTCGGCGAGGGAGTACAGTACGTCAAATTCCGCCCACGGACAAACGACGTGCGCGCCAAATCCACAGCAGGGGGCTGAATTAATTCCTGTCATCAGACTGAATATGACCCTGTAGGCTGCTATTTTTCCAGGGACGACACTTAACACCGCAGCAGTTAAAAAGGTAAACAGACAGAGCATCATTCTCTGAATCGATGCCATTTGCGAGTTTCTCTGAATCCGGTCAGAGAGGTTACAGTTGTACTATGTCAGACGGTGGTATAATATGTATAATACGCGTCGACGTTGTTAAGATTGATGGGAAAATCTATAGAAACTCTATTAAATCTGGTCTACAAACCGCTTAGTGGTCATCGTAAATGGCGTTTCGTCCGCGCAGCAGTCTCTTGACCCGGGCACGCGCGGCATTTGGCACATTTATGACCTGCCTATTTTGACAGCAGCCCGGAAATTTGAGCTGTAGCAAAGTTGGGGTCTTGTTTCTCCAGGTGATTGTATAAATCAGACAGTTGGCCCAGAACGGAACTGGTCACTCGCACCTGTTGGATTTGTAGACAATCTTGGTGATTTGGTTTGGGGAGAGGGGCGTGAGAGGGGCTCAAGTTACGACTTCCCTGGTTCTTACAATTTCCCTCCTAAAAGGATGTCGTCTCTTTTGTATGGAGAAGTTATTCCGATATCATTGTTTCGCTACAGTGCAGTTCTGAACGATCCTAGTACTTGTAGAAGCCAGTTAATAGGTAAAGGTTTTTTGCTTCGTAAGTAATTGTGGAATATCATTGTACGATACATTCAAACATAACTTTACATACACATAGTATATCATTTTGGGTTCAGCTTGTTACTAGTACCTTCGTTAAACGTTAACTTCCCTACTTCCCTATAACGATTAGGATTAGGGTGTATACAAATGGTATAATAATGTTTATTTTGGTATCTTTATCACTGTAAATCCTAGAGAAATTAGACATAACAAATATGTATTGGCAAATGATAATATTCATAAGTCATGTCCTATTTGATAGGCATCGGTACGAATGTAGATAATGTAAAAATAAAATCGGAGAAAGTCCCTCCCCTTATCGGATTTCGACGCGCCCACTTAAAAGGTCAAAGGTAAGAGTGGTAGTGGGATGGGAGAACTCAGGTGGAGCGGGCTGGTTCTCACGGCGAGTGCCGACTTTCTCTCCGCCCGTCCACGTAGGAACATCCTGGTTCTGTTTACTGATACCAGACAGGGATTGTTGGCGGGGTTGCCTGTGCTTTCGTGCCCAGGCAGAGCGCTCTTCTCTCCCGAACCCTGAAGTTGAGGGTCGCTGATCGAACTAGTCAAGCGCCTTGATAGACTTGGAGCTGACTAGTTCTGGCCGGTGTACGAGCGCTTAAAATCACTGCTCCAGGTGTCGCAAGGCATCTAGGTATCCCTGTTAACTCGTGCTGTTTTTGGGGAGAATGTACGGTAAGATCAGGGTGTGATGAGCGAGGCGGGCTATGCCCTGGTGAGCACCGACGACGACCAGGAATCGTCCGACGAGAGAGACTCCCTACTCCCGCTGCAGAACGGCTACCCAGCCACGGTAAAGGCACGGGTTTGTTTTTCTCAGTCTTAAGGCTGTTAAGGGTAAGGTATGCTCGAAACAACGGCATGCTGTGGCTGTTCATTTAAAACAGATGTGTTCTACCGGCTTATGCAGTACAGATAAAGTAGATTTATGCAGTATCCACGTGTCAAAATTATTATGGTTCAGTGAGTAATTGATCTATTGTATTCTGATCTAAGATGTTGAATACTGTAGATTTAGTTTAACGTAACTTACGTCCTAGATTTAATTTCAGGCAAATGAAATGTATTGTCATCTGGACAAGGATAGCTCATTTTACAAGCAAAGACTGTAATTTAGCACATGAAAATTTCTTAGTCTTTCAAAGGCTTGCAATTAAACCTTAACAGCAGATGTCAGAGGGTGATTTAATTACTTTCCCCATGCCACTTCTGGCCACTTCTAGACCAGCACAGATTTGCCCTAAGATTTGCTATCTATATAATATCTAGGACTATGGTAGGCTACCTTTTTAATGATGGTCAGGCCATCAATATAATAGCCTCCTGTGCAGGCCCCGCGGCGGTGGGGAAGAGTTTTTAACGCGTTATTTTAATATAGCTGGCCATCCTACATAGCCGCCGAGAGAAGGTTGCTTTCCACCCCCGTAAAAAACTCTTCCCCACCGCCGCGGGGCCTGCACAGGAGGCTATCAATATAATATGTAGGAGTCTATCACCGGGTAGTCTATCTGTGGTGCAATGATGGTTGTAATAGCCATCTGTTGGTAATAACATTTTGATATGGAATGGACTAGAATAACATGGACAAGAGACTTTGATGTTGATGATATTACCTTGTGCCTGTCAGGCCGCACATAGATACAGAACCACAGTTAGTGGTTCATACAATGTTTAAAAGTAGCCTCCTTCGCAGTCTTGTTGGGCATCGGCATTATTTTTTCTCTGAGCGACGCGAGTAATATGCCGCCGCGAGGGACAATTTGCTGCCGG